TCTGATAAACGCCTTTTAGTCCTCTCAATTTATATTTTTGTAGTAAAGTCACAGAGTTTCAAAAAGAAGACAACTTGTCTTTTTTGAAATATTTTTGGGAGTTAGCAAGCGCCAAACGTAGACAGTTATGAATCGCTCATAGCCTCCTGTCAGAGAATATCATTAATGCAATTAGCTTTGCAAATTTAAACTTGAGAGCTGGTACTTTAGTGTAAATAAAAACCTGAAAACTTCACGTGATGACTTGCAATCAGCGACACATCGAGTTGGGATACGCTCGTACTTTTAGGATTATTTGACAAACTCAACCCCTCAACCATTTGATTTCACCCCTTCCTTTCCAAAGAATTTTGTATTTTTCATCGCCAAAACTTGGTTTGTATAGGGTAAGGTGGGGGAGGGGGAGAACAGGAGTAACAATTTGATTTGTGAGGCGATATCATCCGTCATTATAATGTTGAAGGCTACTTTGAAACGGCACCGTGTCCGAAAGAAAATCATACATTTGGCAAATATGTTTCAGGGTAATCAAATTCTAAATTTTTCACAAGGGGGAGGTATGTGAAAGAGGCGGAGGGGATGGATGGGGGAGGGGAGATGGATGCACACACTAATTGAGCCACACCCGATGAACGATTGCAACATGGGTGCACTGGAATTACGGTAGACGAAACATACATTAGCGCTTTAATAATCCGGCCCTTGTTTCTAATTTGTATTCATATCTCGTACTCTTTAAAAAGGGTTAATTTTTGAGATTATCAAAATAGCACCTGCTTCCGAGAGCGACGCTCGAGGAAAAGTGTGAGCTTCGAGGAACTGCCAATGTCCGCAGACAAATATCCGTGCATATTTTCGCGACAAATGGAGGGTAGTGGTTACATACCACACACTCAGGTGAATAGTGCTTTCCGTGCACGCTGATTGGCTGGTTCGGAAGTGATTAGCAAGCACAATCACCAACAGCCGTCTGCAAAGTCACAGGGGTTTCCCAAGAGTTTCTAAAGTCCAAGTATGCCTGTTCAGTTATCTGAAAATTTTGATTTTCTATTTCCATTAATCCAGTTGCGCTGACATCATAAGGCCATCTTTCGACAATAAATTGTAACAAATCAAACACTTTCCTCAGGTCAACTTTATTTTGACTGCCTAAAATTTACAAACAATCTCTTGAACGCACTTTGAACCGACACATTTGCGTTTATCTTAACTGTCTCTATAACAATTGAGTACTGATCAAATATTCAAATCACTGGCAGCTTAAACGATGTTATAGCATGGTCCAATTATTCTCTCAAACAACTTTAGAAAAAGACTCTATATGCATGCAATTTAAGCTAACAAGAACAAAACAGTTGTGGATAGTACTATTTTTTTTCATTGTATATAATCAACATAACAATCTATATATTACATGTCTTAGATAGTAGTATACATGTAAAAACTCTACGAGTATATATATGACCAACAGTGACATGATGCAGATTGTCTTCACACATCATCTTGATCAATATCTTGGACATTCATATCTTCTCTACCCTCCTCTGTAAATCAAACAGCTCACAGATCAATTTCATAAAAAAATAAATAAATAAATAAATAAATAAATAAACAAAACAAAACAAAACAAAAACAAAAAACCAAGGCATATTTCAATAAATTTGTTCAAGAAAGGAAGTTGGAGGATAACTTCCTCTTCAAAATGAAAGCTATTATGCCTTTGGGGCTGTGAAGATTGTTTTTTTGTTTTTTAACTCTATAATGTTGTTAGTTTTTTAGGGGGGGAGGGTAGGGTAGGGGTGTTTCAGCAGTGGTTCTGCTAAATATAGCAGTGGATCTGAGTGAGGAATGAAGTGGGGAAAATTAAACTCCCTGAGACGAAAAGATTTCCACCTTCAACTGTGCCACTAGTTTTTTGAACTCTGAAGCTTTTGTATTTCACCTGACTCCCACAAAACTACCAGCCATGTTTTGTGTTTGTGTTTGTGTTGAAATGAAGGCTAATCTTATTGTGGCTGCAAGAAGACAGAGGACAGAGGCAACTCTGATTTTTTTACCCCCCAACAGCTGATTCTCCAAAGGGGTCGGCAACAAGGTGCTTAACTAAAAGTGGCCCTAGCAATAGGAGCTACAAAAAAGTATAACTCACCATCTCCTTGCATGTCACAAGTCCAAAGTGTCAAGTTGTCTCTCAGAAGCTGCATGATCAATGTGCTGTCTTTATATTTGTCTTCTTCCAGAGTCTCTATCTTGATAATGGCTTCATCAAATGCTGTCTTGGCCAACCGACATGCCCGATCTGGTGAGTTGAGGATTTCGTAATAGAACACAGAAAAATTGAGAGCCAGGCCCAGGCGAATGGCATTGGTGGATGCCAGTTCAATCTCTGCTAGATCAGATGCTGCTTTGTAAGCCTCAAGGGATTTCTGTGCAGCATTCTTCCTTTCATCATCTTTACTAAATTCAGCCTTATAACGGAAATAGTCTCCTTTCCTGTGAAGTTGATACAACTCTCATCATTACTTAGCTCAATACAGGTTATGTTTTATGCTTAATTTTATTTTCCGACAGTGGTGAGGGAGAATGGAGGGAGTATTGCTTAAGATTTCCAGCTAAAACACTTATTTCAAATGGTCCTCTAGGAACTATTTCATTTTAAATTTACAAGTTTTCACCACTTTCCAGACCTTCTTAAATTGCAAACCTACCCACCCCCACCCTCCAGACATGTTGTGTGGATAGTACCCTTTCCATCGCGGAGTATTTGAGTATGGGCACCACTGTGTAGCTTGTAGAGCCTGATACTCCAACCCAGGTGAGTTTAAACACTCTTAATCCTTTATACTGGAGAAATCCTTACATCCGCCCTCAGCCGCTCACACAAGTCTCACATGCAGAACAGAGTTTTCACGGATTGAAGTCCCTGAACTGGATAAAAATTTCAATTTTTTGTGTCCAAGAGAACACACTACACCCGATAAGGTTCAAATGCACTGAATATGGGTCTGTAAACACTTAAGGATGGGATATTCCGTACAGAAAATTTTTATTTAGACTACATTTCAGTTGTTTTCATAGAGCTGAAAGTAATGACGAAAATCAAGAAACAATTTTCCTCCGAGTAATCTAACAAGGAGAATAGATAAAGGTGAAATTAGAGATACTGGCCACACTGCCAAATTAACATTTCTGACACGGTATGCTGGCAGATGCAAGAATCAACCTTTGCCACATAATAATTCTTATTCCAAAGCATGGTCAACGTGACTTTCTTCTGGACAGGCCTTCTGATTATTAAACTGGGAAAGGAGACTTTCAAGGTTTTTTTAATTCTAGTCATGAAATGATGCCTTACTCCTTCACACCCCAACAGCAGTCTACATGTTCTCCATAACTCTCCCAAATAATGACAAGGAGCTCATTTAGTTGGAGATCGTTTCCTCTATTCTTTTGACCTTTATGTGTGATACGAGGCTGGTATTGTAAGGAGAAATCAGATAGCAGTCACTCTTAGGAGTCAAAGGGTAGAGAGATAATTCTGGGCATGGTCAAGTTCTAAATTACTCACTCTAAGACTTCCTATAGAGCCATACTTTAATTTATTATCAAGATAATTAAATCGGATTGACTTTGATGGTTACTAATCCAAAGTCTGTCAAATACCAGATTCAAAACATCAAATACACTAAATGACACTAAATGTTGCATGCTAGGACTGAACATGTTTATTTCTACGATATCTGTTTTAAAAGTACTTTGTGAAAATGGACTCTCTCTCCTGATGCTCATCAACTTATTGGAAATACCAAAAGTAACTGACCCACTTCCAGGTCCACCTTAAGCTTTATTGCTAAAAAATGCATACGTACAGCAATATCTATACTTCACTTTAATATCTCAAAGAAGAAAGTAAATCATACAATTCCCTATGTACAAGGGGAAATATGGATGAAAATACATTTAAGATCTAAAATAATCATCACTTATCTCTTAGAAACACTAAGAATCCATGGAAAGAGAACTGGAAATAATTTACAAATTAGTTAGGCTTCCTTGCTGGGACTTTCTGTTGGAGTTTAGTTGACACAAGAGTGGCCTGAGCCATATCTACACTGCCATGTTACACTTAAATGTACTTCAAACTGATATGAAACATGGTTGTTGTTGAGAAATGGCTGAACAGGCGCAAAGCCAAGCATGTGCTGCTAACTAAAAACCTAAGCATAAACCCATGCAGGAATCATTCACATTCCGTGATGCTCACTCTACAACAATGACAAAAAAAAAAAGATGCAAGTGGATATTCATGTCCTATAAACTAATTAAGATGTCTCCATTCTTCCTTGGAATTCTTCAGGAATCCTTGTCTTCTACATCTTGCACTTCAATGTCTATAATGTAACACAATCAAAGTTAAGAGGGCCTAAAACATCCACGCTGAAATTACTCTCAGTTATTTGCTATTGCCAGACACCTGCTACTTAAAAACGTAACCAGACCTTTCTAGTTAGTAGAGTCAAGCGGCTTGTACTTTGGGAATCCTATACATATAAAGCCAGTGAAATTTCCAGAAAATCCACACTGTAAACACACACTATGTTACAATTCTGTATTCATAAATAAAAGACAAATTAACTGTCTGGCAAACTCCAGCTCAAACTTAGATTTCAATATTCAATCATCTTCATGGAATTTCTGAAGCAGAGTGAAATATTGAAACAAATGCCTCAAATTATATCTTTCAGGGCTAAATTCCTGCATGCATCACAAGCATTTGAGTTAGAGAAGACAGCTTCTCCAGATTTAATTGCTATAAAAAATCTTTTAAATTTTTGGAGGGCACAATGTAAAAAAAAAAAAAAATGAAATTGAATTCTGCAGAAATGACTTTGCACTGTTAAAAACCAACCTGATTAAATGTGATTAGAAGGGTCAAAATCAAAACATAATTTCAATTAAGAGACAAAAACATACCTTCTCCTTGGGTCTCTGATGTCCACAGAGTCAAGTTGTCCCTAAGGAGCTGCATAATTAAAGTGCTATCCTTATACTTGTCCTCTGACAGTAGTTCAAGTGCAGCAATAGCTTCATCAAATGCTTCCTTTGCCAATTTACATGCTTTATCTGGTTCATTCTTTATCTCATAATAGAAAACGGAAAAGTTGAGAGCCAGTCCCAGTCTTATTGGATGTGTACATGGCAGCTCCTTGGCATGTTCATGAGCATCTTCGTAAGCCTTAAGAGACTTGGCAATTTCTTTAGGAACTGACTCATCATCCTTTTTGTCAGGAAGAAACTCAGCCTGATAGCGCCAGTAGTCTCCCTTCCTTCAAACAAAAAGTTACAGAAGGGAGGTTAGGAAAGAACAGGGATTTCCATAGACTGTTTTCTCAAACTGGTAAAGTGGTGCCCGATGCTTATCAACTCTTTTGTATGTAAGAATTAAAAGAAGAACACTTACACATACATTAGAATGAGTCATCTAAGAGGATAACTTTCCTTGGCAGGCTGCAAGATTTCAAATCCCATAAAAAACAATTTTTTGGACAAACAAAGAGCACCCTGACTTCAATAGGATTTTAATAAACTTGTTTGTTGAAATACATTGAAACAGAATCTAGGTGTTCAATCTATTTGATAAGTGAGACAAATTGGAAAATAATGTTTGGAAACACAAAAAAAAAAAATTGAATACAATAAAACTGACCCAAAACAAAATGGCTAGGAGATAGAATTAATAGAATTTTATTTAAAAAACAGATGTGGTCCTTGATCGACATCTGTTTCATGATGCTGGAATTGTATCTGGAGAACCACTTCCTGAATGTTTCAAATTTTTGGCATTGCCCTTAAATTTTTCTTGCAACCATAGGACTTAGTAGTTATAAATAAAGGTCCAACATCTTTAATACAAAGATGGTAGGAAAAACAAGGGACACCAGTCTTGTGTGATGAATGCTGTAAATGACAGAAAATTGAAGAGAGAAGCTTCACAATATTTCAAGTTTGTACATGAGCAGAGCCAAGACCAAATTACAGCTCTACAATGTTGAGAATCAGAGCAGGAAAAAAAAAAAGAAAAGAAAACTATGTAAATTTCGATTGGATGGACTGGATTTGCCAATTGGAGACTATCTTTTGGTTCTATAACTTAAGAATACAATAATGACATGCCATTCAAAACTTTTTTCAAATGAAATCTTACAGCTTACTTTGGATACTTAAAATAAATTTTACTCAACAAGATGGGAAAGGGTGCCAACAAGACAAAGGTGTAACCCCTGCCAATTAAGAGATGTCAAGCATATGGTGAGGGTTGCCTCATCCACTCTCACTGACTTCAATTCATGTGATGGGAGACATTTTCCAGCAATTCACTGTAATTTTTTCCGTCTAATTCCTAGAAAGTGTGCAACTTTTATCACAATTAACTAAACCTTAACTTGCACAGAGTGTAAGCTTTAAACAGTGCCATTTTTCTTGCTTCACCCTTCAAAATAAGCTTGTTTTCTAGTAAAAAAAAAAAACAAACCCATGCAACACTTTTTACCAGTAAAAATTTACACATGAATTTCAATAGTATTTCAGTTTCTTCCACACCTAAGGACACCAGACACTAATTTTGCTTCCTGTCATTTTCCTAAACCTGACGGGAACCAAAAAAAGTACTATTGCAAAGTTAAATGGCAACAATATGATCAATCTTATTGTTACCTAAGTTGTCCAAACTGCCTGATTTAAGCCAAAACCAAAGTATTTTCTTTGTAAACATATGGAAATCCCTGCTCATGATATCATGAGAGATTTTGTTTCCTGACAACAGGAAACAATAGTGACATGCTTTACAACAACTGCAAGCCTTCAGAGTCTATGTTGCTGACAATTCTACAAAGCATGTTCCCAGAGTAAAAAATCAAGTATCAAAAATACTTCACATGGGAAAACTCCCTGCTTTCAATCAAAGTACTCTTGGAGCTTACTCATGGCACAGCATATCTTAATAATTCACTTTTAAATCCCTTGCCATTTCCTTCAATATTGCATGACTTATTCTTACATGACCAGATTATTCTTTACTTTAAAAGCCTTAGCAGTAAACACTTAACCTTAGCCACAGGTTATATTTAAGTCAGATAAATTGATGGCCCAACGGGAAAAATATACTGGAGAAAGACAGCCAAATTGGTGCTGAAAATTCAATCTGAGCCCAAGCAAGTAATTAAATTTCAAGCTGCCACACCAGGGGCAAAATACCTCTAAAAGTAATTGCAAAAAAACAGAAAGGGTCAAATCCAGTGAAATCTGTAAAACCCCAAACAAAGATAAATCAGCTGAATGAAAACTGCAAAACCTCAAAACATGGTAATTTGCTGCCAAAGATGTGTAAAGACTTGAGACTTTGAAGCCCACTTCTTTCCAGGGGAGTATTCTTTAGCATGTTTGCTCTTTGTTTATGAGATTTACAAAGGTGTATTAAGATCAAGAATGGCATGAAAAGAAAGAAATAACCACCTAAAAGATTTCAGCCTACAGTCTGACAAAATATTTCCATATCTATTATTGGGACTATTGTCATTGTCGATTTTACGACTTTTAAGGCCCTTTCCTCTCTGAATTGATACTCTCTTGAAAATTTCTCCTTCATTTGTGAGGTCTATTAAAGTACACTCTGATCAAGAATGGAGAGAAAGGAAGGGAAAAAACAACCTGGATAATTTTTGCAAACCGCACCCATGAAAGATACCATTTTAAATCTGTTGATCACTCCATGAACTTGCAAACAAATTCTTGCCTTTGTCCCACCCACCAGGTATATAAATAAAAGACAATAGCACAACTATGGGGACAGAACAATACCTAGTAGGGAAGGCAGGGGATAAAGTATTTGATCCTCATTCAATGCATAAATTAATTATGACAGGTCAGAGAATGGAGCAGTGAGTGTATCTCAGCTAAATACCTAAACCTCATTGTATGACATCATACTGATGTCATGCCATAAGGCACAAACACAGATAGATGTAAGTTTAACACAAATTTGCTTAAGTTGAGTTCAAAGAAAAGCAAAGAGAGGGAATTTGAACAATATTCACAGCATTTATCTGTTCACTTTGTTATTCAAAAGTGGCACCTACATTGAAATTAATAAATAATTATTTGTGGCTGATGTATCATCTGAAGGGAAAAAAAAGGTTCCTTGCGCTTGTTAGAGCAGACCAGCAAAATCAGCCTTTTCTTGTTCATCTGTTCCATATCAGGCCTAATTCCCCTTAAAAAACTAAACAATTTCAATCTTGCCCACTGAGTATACATACACATAACCCATTGCAATATTCATCACTTTAAATTTTCCCCAAAAATTTCCACAAATAAGAGGCCCAAATTATAAAGAACTCAAGGCTGAAAACCTCAAGCATATTGGAAAAAAATCCATAGCATAGAGAAAATAATTCCTCTATGAATACTGTGCATGCAAAAGTACAGCTTAAACTAAGAACAAGCTTTCAACTGTACACAAGGCAAGATATGTCTGACAAAGGGCTTCAACAGCTGATATGGAGAGGCCAAACATGTACTGTACATAGTATGACATGCGTGATTTCCCCTCTCGATTAGAGGTTCACCTTTCCCTCCATTTTCCTCAAATCCTATGCTCACACTCCTGGCCTTTGGAAGACAGAAGACTGACAAGGCATCAACGTTTGCCCACCTCGAATTTTTAATGATCAATGCACTTATTGAGATAAATCATACGCAGCGGTAATCTAATTTAATATACAAAAATTATTGACATGTTGAAACACTGTAACTTACATTTTGTGGTAGAAGACTTTCGATTCCGGATCTTTGGCGTTTTCTATCAGGTTGCCATCCAATAATTCTAAAATTTCACTGCAGATGCCCTTTAATTCCGTTTCCACGCTCTCTTTGTATGTTTTTATTACTTCCTTCTTGGGTTCGTCGTTTTGGGTTTTCTCCAGGCTTGAGAGAACGCGCCAAGAAGCTCTTCTCGCACCAATGACATTCTTGTAGGCAACTGAGAGTAAGTTGCGTTCTTCTATCGAAAGTTCTCCACCTTCCAGTGCAATTTCCTTCATATGATCTTTCATCTCTGTAATAAGAAGCAAATAGCACCTTCGAAATCCTTCGAAACATAGATATGTGAAGCGGCAAGTAAACATTACATTGATAGGTAGATCTGAGCCCCTGTCAAACTTCGACCAGAAATCACACTCCTGCTAAAATTGTCTACCATGATACTAGTTTGATACTAACAGAGACACTAATTTAAACGGACATAATGTTGGTCGGCGAACTAAAATCACACAGTATATAGTCAAATTCCATGGATGACCCATCCTACAACTCTCTGCAAAAATAAAAAAGAGGCAACAAATCGTATACAAACCGTCATAACGCTCAGCCTGCTCGGCCAACTTGGCCTTGTAAACCAAGTTGTCTTTTTTAGACATGTCGATGGGCAAAGCTACGAAAGATACCGCTCGGATGAAACCGTTCAGTTATAACTTCCCGAACCGAAAAATTCAAGATGGACGCGGGGCGCGGTGAACAAGACGGAAATAATCACATGACCTATGACGTTACGTGTAGTCGGGGCAACCAAATCGAATAAAGTATCGAAGTTTTTAGTCAGCGGTCGGTACTTCCGTCATTGATTCATATAAAATTGTATATCGTGTCTCTTGTTTCGTCAAGTCCTTCAACCTGGAAAAAGTTAAATATAACAAAAAGAGAAACATCAATTTTGCTAGCCTGTGAACAGGCACCAAATGATGCCCTGCTTAATGTGCGCATACCCCCGAAAAGAGAAGGCCTGCTTAATGCAAGCTTACCATAGAAATCCGATTGCATACATCCTCTCGTTGCTGTTTTATCTATTTTTGAAATAGTTTGCGAGCCTCTCGTCAAGTTCTTTTCACCAGTTGATGACATAAATACACGTAATAATGGGCTCCTGACCTCCAAAAATGTTTCGCTGTTATTGGGGTTGTCGTTTTTTTCAAATAAAACATAACACAAAAAAACACCTAAAAAGAGACTAAACACTGTATGCTATATTGATTAGGGAGCTTTTAAACTTTCCCACCCTGTCATATCTAGTTTGAAACTACAGAATGCCTTCCATGATTCATATCGACACAGAATCAGGGTGAGGTGAGGTGCCTATGATGTTGAAAAAAAGCCTGATATTCTATATTCTTTCCTCGATTGTTTCAATACTTTATCCACGATTCGCAGATAAGAAATCACAGGAGCACTTTGAAGCTTTCTTCCCGGTTTTTTTTCCCTCCCAGATGCGTTTTAAACTTTGCGCGTATCCTGTTACCCAAGCCTCGCGCCGTCGTAGGTAGATCTATTTATCAGGCTGAGAACACGGAGACAGTTGGAATTAATTCAAGCACTGATTTTAATCTAATAATATCAAAAGAAGCATATCACTGAAGGATAGTATTTACTTATCAGGTCTGGAAGAACTGAAAGAACTGGTTCTATTTGCAAATAACAGTTCTAAACTATCGTATGCAATATTGGGCACACAAGACATTGTCGCACCCCACGACTAGTTCCCTTAGGATTCCAAAAGCAGAAAACTTTTAACTCAGAGGACGAGAAATAATTTTACAAATCAGGCGTATTTCAACCCTTTAACTCCAAGAAGTGATTAACACGTAACTTCCCCCTGTAATATCCATACATTATCCAGCTAAAGGGTGATGAGAATTTACAAGGAAATTTGTGGGAACTAGAGAGGAGAATTAACAATCAGACCTTGGGATTTAAAGGGTTAAACGAGCGAACGCTACATCTTACGAGCGTTCGTTGAAGCCACCACATTAAACAGGAAAAATCGAGTTAACAAGATAATAACGTTTTATCGACGCGGTTGATAATGTAAATTGGCCACCGTGAAGTGTTTCAAGGCTGACGTTTCGAGCGTTAGCCGTTCGTCAGGGCGAAGAGACTCTTTACGGTGGCCAATTTACGTTATCAACTACGTTTATAAAACCAAATTATTTTGTTATACTCCCCCTCTGACGCAGCACCACAGTTTCTTTAGAAACTAACCCCCTTTATCACAATCTAGTGAGGAAAGAGGAGAGAGAGGTCCCCCCCCCCCACTGATTTGTCATCCTCGCAATTAGGCCAGACTTCTAAGGGAAGTATCGTGAATTCTTGGGACTACCCTTCAATTTACAAACAAGACAGTTCGGCAAGCCAGTGCTTACAAATTGGGAGTGATTTCTTGGTCATTTCCTAATTGCGTATCCACCTGTTTTTCACTGATCTTTCCCGCCTTGAGTTTTTTCACCAAGCGCGCATCACGCGCAAGATCCTCAAGTTCATCTTCATCAAACTGATGTTTCTGGCGCTGCGTTTTAAAAAATTCTCTACGTGCTTTCCGCTTCTCTCTTTTGACTTTTCTCTCTTTGTTCTTGGACCACGGGACGGTCTCCTTACGGAATTTCTTTTTCTTCGAGTCCGTTGGATAAAAACCATTCTCGCTCGATTCCTGCAGCATTCTTTTTCTCTGCTTTTCTCTGTTTTTGTCCTTGTAATAAAGTTTATCAACATCTACATCCACTGGCTCAAAATCCACACTCTTATCCTTAAGCTCTGGCATGATGGGCAACTTTAGGAGGCCAAATCCCGTTGCGAGTTTTCCGAGCTCCAGGTCTGTGGGCCAAAAAATTCAAGAAAACGTTAATCGAGGAGCAGCCAATAGTTAGCACCTGGGGGGGAGGGGAGGCGCGGCGAAGTTTTTTCGGGGGTCTCACATGGTTTTTAAGGGGGAACCGAAGACGGGGGTTTCAAACTTACCCTTAACAAACACGTGGGTTTTTTACAACCAGTCTGACACAAAAATTCTTGCAACGACAGGATCGCATTTTACTCTTCAATTAACTGATTATTTCCCCTTTAGTACGAGTAGGATTAATATATACGGCGAAAAGCTAAACTGATAACATATGTCGAGTAACTGCAAGTAGGGGGAATTGGGGGGAGGGGGGGGGAAGTGGGTCAGTCGAGAGATTTGCAGATTGGTTTTGTAAAAGTTTGGACCCCTCTTAATTTACATCCAAATTCCGGATCCACCCTCGACTGGTTAAAGCCACGGTAGAGTGGACTGTATGTGATGCAAGCCAATGACCACTGGTAGTGTGATTTGCATTTGATGCTTGAGAAGTTGACCCTTGTTACAAGATCAAAGCAAAACCGAATCAGATAGTGATTGCCAGCTTTCTACCCTCAATTGCCTCCTATGCTAGTGTTTTGCACAAATAGAAAACAACAGCCAAAGCAGGAGTTTAGCTTGGGTTCATTGAAAATGACTCGTTTGGAAATCAAAACAAATCCTGTCAAAATGATCGTTCGTTCGTTTCGTTGTTCAGTGAATTGCTCATTCGGTTTTAAAATTAAAACTAAAGCAATCGCACTAGCCAATCGTAACGAAAGAAAATACCACAAGGAGCAAATGAGAACTCTTTTCCATGCTGGATATTTGATTCCCATTGTAAATTAAAGATATTTTCCTTACCATTTGATCTAAAAATTAAACTACACTCGTGCTTTCTGTAGAACTGTACGAATGACACAAAAGCCTTCATCCCCTTTTCGTACACATCCCTAAGAAGAAATTCGAAAAAAAAATATGACATAGGCAAAATTACTGAAAGGATGACAGACTTCAAAAATAGGAAGGAGGGCCATGGGGCTTGTAAGTCTATGACTGTAAAGTATTTACCCTCGTTAGGTAAAGTTGCTCATTTATTTATCCCCAAATTAAAAAAAAGGGCTGAAAGCAGACGGCGAGAACTCGATTTTAGTCGTTTTCCGTAAGTTAAGCGTCGTGCTGGCCCTCTTTCGTAGTAAAATATCTAAGAAAGGAATACTATAAAACGTCCCCCCCCCCCCAAGGTTAATAGACGCATAACCGACGGGTAAGACATGTTCATGACGCGCAACCGCTACAGTGAGCTTACGAGGTGTGTGTTCGTCATCTCGGATTTTTTGAGACAAGAAAATTCGGGGAAACAAAGAGACGGGGTGGTCTTACGGCGGGGGGGGAAAGAGAAGAGCAAGGAAGGGAAACTCAAAGGAAAAAGGGTTGTAAATGCACAGTTTAATGTAAAGTGCGCACAAAGGGACTAGCTGCGTCAAGAATTGTTCCGTCACGTGGGCGAAGGAGCGCTCCCCATTAGTGGGAACTAACTGCCAAGATAAGTGCTTTTATTAAAAGGGTTCTGTTATTTACCAGCATTATAAAGACACATCTGCAAAGTTCTATATTGCGGCCACTTTCAGTTTTAACCCTTTAGACCGTAACATTAATGTTCATATACTCCGCACTTTTCTCTTTACAAAAACTGTGGCACTGACAAGAAGAATTTGTTTGACATTTGAGAGTTTAGTAAATTGGTGATCATTTCTCATAATCTCCTGACCTTTACATTAGATCCAAGGGTGACATTGCAAGGAGAAATTAAAAGCCAGTCATCCTCAGGGGTTAAAGGGTTATGGCACTTACAACAGAGGTTACGTTCCCTGTAAATAAAGTAACTTTCTACGGGAACTTAGCAAAAAATGTTTTCTGAATACAGTACCTGTCTTTCATAGCCATCTGTCTTAGCTTGGGTGTAACGTCTGTCACTTCTCCTTCTATTTCGAAAGATTGAAGAGGTACCTGTATTATGGACAGAAAATACAGTGGTGCAACAATCAGAAGGGTGAGAAACTTCATCTCTCTGATCATTTAGCCCCGTCCTACCCCTGTGCGATGTTGACCACAAGAGCGCTTTTGTTCAGGTCGCTAAACGTGCGGCCAGAAATGACGGTCAAGGTTACCTTCATCCTAACGATCACACTAGGTAGGATAATCCACAGTTAACCCTTAACACCTTAACATCAATCTGTATATTCTCTTATTCCGTTCTCTCTTCATTTCCTATGGTACTGACAAGGAGAATTTGATTGAAAATCATGAGCTTCTTCAATCGGTGATCATTTTATTTATTCTCATAACCGTTACAATTGATTCAGGGTTGAAACTGTGGGAGAAATTAGACGCCGGTCACTCTTTAATGATTAAAGAGTTAACCTACCTTTTGGTTAATGGATATAAATTCCACGTAAGATTCTTCAGCAGGAAGCAAAAACAACAAAGCATTCCCTACAAAGTAACAGGATACAATAGAAGAAAAAAAACGATTAGGAGATCAAAGTAAAGGTAACATAGGTTACATAAATGACCATGAATATATGAAAATCATATATGTGAA